CTTCCTGTCCTAGTGAACCACACCCCTGAAAGCAAAATCAATCCATCACCTGCAGCACCTTCTTCTTTGTCGTAGCTACAAGACCTCAGAAAAATAGACCACCACAAAGCATGCTGGCTCCGCGTATGGCAGTGAGTCATCAAGCTTTGAATAGACTGGATTACGCTTGCACTGCGAACTAAACACCTCGTTCTTCAACTGATGTCGCTTAATTGAGCTTTTTAGAATATTGGAGCCTCACTGCGGAAATCAAGCTCCATTGAAAAAGAAAGAAAATAGGGTACCTATGGTCAGCAGTGAAGCAATCAACATTACACATCCTGTATACTTACTGCAATGGTGAATTTTCACATCCTTGTAGGTATGCACAGCACAATAACTCAATTCAACAGCAACTTCACCTGAAAGCAATGGTCAGAATAGAGTTGGGGGTCCTTAGTGCTTGAAAATGCCAACAGAGATGTGAATTGTAGCTCCAGTGAAGACTACGGGAAAAAATCATCAGTAAATTCAGAAAAGGGACCTCTTCTCTTCATGACAGTAGTAAAGAAGTCTCGCATGTGCATGCATGTTCGGGCGAGTTTCACGAACGTGATTTCCTAATTTCCTCTTTGCTTTTAGAATGAATGAACCGTGCTTGACGGTGAGATGAAACTCGAATGAAATGTTGTTATCGTGCGTGGATTCCATGCAATGCCACCTCTAGCGTTGGGGCGGGAGCAACACTTCATGGGCGGTATGCCATCCTTCCACTAGGGGGCCCACCACTATCAGATCTGATTCCATCCTAATGCTGGGGAGACACGGTCATGTTATAGGACCCGCCATTGAGCAGGTGATATTGTAGCCATCATTCCCTGTTGCAGCCAGACAACGCATCGTATGGACGCGTACCCCTGAGGGGAGCTTGGGATACGGCCCCATTTCTTCTCGGCGAGGGCCCATGCATCTTTCCACTGGACAGTAGCAATTGTATGGAACCATCTGCGCTTGTTGCTTTAGAGGAAATCACGTTAAGATCGAAGATCAAAGAAGGGGGAAAATTGCATAGTTGGGAGACAGGCGGACCTGCTGAGGGTCTGCCCAACGCGCAGTTGGCAGCGAAAGTTTTGACTTCGGCAATCTAACATTGCGGTGTTGAAGAGGTACGCCCACCGATTATCTAATCCCTCGCCGCAGATCTATATGCGAGGGATCAGATAGCAGAGAGCGTAGTCTTGAAGAGGGCACAGTGATGAGAGGCCGATATGCGTAAATCAACGGTCAAGGAAGGTGGCCATTTCTCGGGTCGGGCCGTTTCAAGTGTCTTCTTCGCTCCAGCCTCACTAACCACCTCTACCCTTATTTCCAAACCCCTTAAGCTAGGCGGCTTTAGCTAGGAATTGTGGGTTGGGTTCGTTACTACCGCGCGCTTCCGAGTTATTGCTTCACCTCCATGTTGCGCGCCCACCCACAAATATGATGTCAGAGTTGGTTTGGCCGCCTAATCCCGCCCCGTGCTTCAAACTTAATAATTCTCTAAATTTCAAATGAATAATACTGAGCATCCTAATCACTTGAACGGGTTGATATTCACAGAAGAATGCGCAGCCATGCTGAGCCTCAACATCCCCTTCACGAATGCTCCTAGTATGACTCGCCGCTAAATTTACGCGGAATAAAACTCGGTGGAGTTTTTAGACCAGTTTTCATGCGCATTCGGAGCGACCTGTTCACTTCGTCATAGAATGTAGGTTCAATGCCCATTGCAAACCCGATAGACGATCAAAGAAAGGCACATTCTGCTCGTTTTGAACCTATCTAAACAGTTACGAGGCTCAGCGCATAGGACTCCACTATTAATTTGAAGCCAGTTGACTTTTGATTCATTTATTTACAAAAATTTTGCACAAGAGTTCAGAAAAAATGCCAGAGGAAACTGAACGTTGCAAATTTCACGCCATTTGTTGACATAGAAAGATGTGCAATAGCTGCGGTAGAGAAAAACACCGTCCTCGCGAAGACATGGAGCCATAGCTTGCTCTTATAAAGCGATACTTTCGACTACAATTGCACTCAATTTCTTCGTGTGCCAGTAACTGTGTGAGTGGGGTTTTTAGGATAACACAACAAGAAAAACTACTACTTGCTCCTTTAAGCATCCTTCCTTTTCAGAAGAAAGATTATGGAGGCGCTTGCAGTGGGAAGTCTCATGGTCACTGTAATCCTTGATGACCATTTTGAGTCCTTAGCCTTGAAATCTTTAATAGTTAAGCAGGGAAAGGCGGGTATGTTGAAGCAGTTATTTTCCGGATATATCCAAAGAAGTTATGTTAGTATGAGCACTCAGATCTGAACAGGTAAATGGAGCAAATACGAAATTAAAACAATCTATCGTAGACTTATGGTGAGCGTACCAATAGCAGACGTGATCTTAGAAATACATGCTCCTGTCTACCTTCTACTTCATTGAGAATGAGGTAGAACTTGAAGCGAATGCCCTACGCCTGCATGAACAAAGCAGCGAAAGTTGAGGTGAACGCTTAACACCTGAAAATCTCAAAGCCTAATTAGGCTTACTATCTCATGAAATTTCGGCTGATGTTAGAATAGTTGACAGTTCACAACATTCGCTACTTGCAGTTCTCTGACACTTTCTTTTTCCAGTACAAAGTCAGCTTCTCGGTGGAGTGGTGCGGCCGCCAAGAGCAAATCGAACAGAAAGTAATGCTGGTGCACAATTCGTCTCAAGTTGCTTCAAATGAAATGCCCACCAAGTTGAAAAGATAATATACAAAAGAACCGGCAAGCCGGAGGTAAGCCCCACAACAAAGATGCCGCTTCCGACTGTCGTAAAATTGCGAAATATAACAGATCAGCTCTGTTTGCCTTTTTGGCATTCGAATTGCTGTAGTGGTATGAAGCTGTAATATAGGAAATGAAATATCGCAAATAAACGGAAGACCAATCTGTGAGTATATATGGTTACCAAAAATTAAATATGCGTAAAATTTTGCTCTGTTTTAAAAATTGTAAGACCAATATATGAGCACATTTTTTACCAAGTATTTGCGCGATGCTATTTATTGCTTTGTAGGGAAAAATTGTTTTCCTAATCCTTTTGAAGGCTGAAGAGCGGCTAGCAGGGAGTCAGAAGTTTACCTGACTTACCTTTATTGTTTTAGGAGCATTTCTTGATTCGTTGAACCACTAACTTTTTGTCTGTTTCACATGCTAATTGCATATCCGTTAATAAATAAATCAAAAGAAAACAATTTCTTTAAAATTCAGAGTTTCTCTAACAGCCGTCCAGGAAGTTGTAAAACAAATGGGAAGGAGGGATCTTGTTCTATCTAAACCGGTAAGGGAATGTGAACGGATTAGCAACACTCACAAGTGTAGAGAATTAAATAACAGTAAAAGTTAGGCATGGTTGAAGTTATCAAATGTTAAACAAACATTCCACGTTGGCCGTTCGAAAAAAATTCCAGTTTTAACAAGCCAAACAAGATTGGAAGGGAAATGTAAGGGATTATGGAATATTTCGAGATGCGACAATTCTGATCCCCTGCAGTTTCAGAAAAGGTTCACCATTTAGCTTGAAAATGTCAGAAGCGCCTCCTAATTCCCAGCCTAAATGCAAAGAACATTCGTAATTGGAGACTATCCGCAAGAATTTTGCTATCTTGATCTGAAGCTGCATCAATGCTTTCAGAAAGTCCATAAAGTTTTTATCGATGAAAGCAGAAAAACAAGGGGAAATCAACCAATAAGAAGAAATTTTTACGGAAGCTGTAGTGCATTAAATGCAAAATCATACCAGCCCATGGAGGGTTCCAAAACGATGCACTTCTTCGAGACTAAAACCGGGACTTTTTGTAAGTGAATTTGTGCTTGCTAACAGACCGAATTCGAATGAAATAGACTTCTTTGTTTGTGACTTCACTGAAGAGCTACTAAGGAGTCGGAATGAAAAAGTTTGGTAATTTTAAAATGAACCGTCCAAAAATTGGAATAAGACCTCCACGACATCATCGACTCGACAAAAAAATGATAGGCCTGTATCGGAACTGATGGCGACCATTTCCAAACTTCTCTGCCGTTAGAACAGGTTCCGATTTCGTTTTCCAAAATTACTTTCCTTCAAATTTTTAAAGACAAAAAAAACAACAAAATTTCGTTTTCTATGGCGTAATGTTCCAACAATAGAGACCAGCAGGATTGATCCAAGACAGCACAGCACAACAAGTCAAGAAGCGTTGACCACTTCAGTCGAACGTGAGATAACGAATTCAGTTAAATAGTTACAAACCCTATCATACCTGCACTTGAAAACAGCTAAACGTTACAGCTTGCATTTCTCAAACTTTTCGAAATCACGGCGCTATCATGCAACACTCTGAAGAAAAACGAGCAGAATGAATGTAATCTCTTTATTTAAAATTCCGAGGATAACGAGATGAAATTTCTTCACTACAAATAGCGTAACAACTACTGAACAGACTCCCACTCAGAGAGAAAAGCGCACCTGCAATGCACACAGACGTTGGTGGAGCGCGCGCTTGGCAGATACCCGCACCATCGTCGCTCTCGTCTCGTTAATGCCAGTGTATTGCGTGATTATAAGACTTTCAAATATCATGCCCACACATATGCAAGAAATGTATCCAAATTTGAAAAGATGAAAATAAGACGTTTAGTACCTGAACGGGCACAACATCACCAAGTATGAAGAAGGACGGGATTCACGGATTCGGAAAGTAGATCTTACTGCCGTATCTGAGTTCAACAACACACAACGAAATCGTAGAAAAAATGTAGCTGACGACCAAAATCTCAAATTATGTTGAGTGGTCAGAAAGTCTACGTAAGATACGAGCACGTCAAAGAAAAAACTAATAGTTGCGATAGGCGCAGCGATAAATATGAGAACCGTATTATTGCCTGTGATGATGCGGTAACGAAAACGCGGGACAATAGATCCTCGCGCGCACCTCATCCTCTCGCCATGCGAGAACCATTTAGCGACGATGTCGTCGATCGCGATCGTCTCTGTCTCTGTCTCGGCGATCACGCTCCTCACGACGATGGCGATCACGAGAGCGACTGCGGTGACGGTCGCGATCCCGTGAGCGTGATCTAAAAGATGAATCGAAACTACAACAGCAGGAGATTCGACTTATCAAAACAATGATGCTTTTTTACAGTAACACGCAGAAGAGAACCTTTTTCTAAGAAGATGCCGTTTGAACTACAACCTGTACTTGAAATCGCAGAGCTTACGTCACCTAATACAAAGTCAGAAAAAACACCGAAACCATCTTTTCGTATTTTAAGGAACGGAGCGGAATAAAAAGCAATCAGATTTTGTGACTAAACGTCAGGTAGTAGCAGGTAGTTTCTCCCCATCTTTCTATTTCTTCCATAAAAAAAGCAGAGATGATTGTTGAAATACACAAACCAGACATTAAGTAGCCAATCATATTTTCTTTCAAAACAGCCACACACAGTATTTGCAGTCGGAACCGCCATAAAACCTTCTACCGCCAAGGGTCGCAAAAATATAGTATATCGAGAACATCCCCTAGAATTTCTTTTTCATTTGCTCTAGCCAATTCTCCTTGATCCGTCCTTAATGTGGAGCGCTTTCTGTTCGAGAAGCTTTACAATAGCTTGAAGATCACCAAAACATCAGAAACGCAGCTAGAAAAGCTGTCACAATCAGTCTTGTGAGCGGTAATAATGCATGTGTGGCTGCCGAAGAACGTCCAAACTCCTTTCATAAATACTCCCCGACTAACTTGTGTTCCAACCGTGACTAAATCCCATGACCATCTACTCAATGAACTTTTTTAGCGCATCAGATATTTGCGGAGTACTGGCATGGCTATGAGATAACTGCATACCTCCAAATGTCTTAAATTTATGGACAAATATTATAAATACGCTGATGGGCTCACCTTCTTGAACTGCGTCTGTCTCTGTCGCGAGAGCGATCTCGATCACGTGACCGCCTCTTTTCGCGTTCACTGAAAAATTGTTCGCAGTTAAAGTTGGTTCCAAAACAATAAATAGACACTTTTCATGGAAGAAATCTCATCGAAGTGGACTAGCTACTTCCAGGGTGTGGTGAAATTATAATAACAAACTACCGATCGAAAGTTTGTTTTAAGCAACGTTGCCATTTCGTAACCATTCTTCTGTTCGTTGATTAATATGCTATCTTATACTTTACTAGTTTGGCTCCGCACGCTACTGAACGCATGGCCCGGCAGGCTCCGAACGCGTAAATTGACCATTCTATAGGCTGCCCATTTTGCTGAAGCTCATCATTTCATACGCGCGGAGTAGTGCAGACCTAATCTGGTGCCTGTAACAACCAGCAAGCGTCGAATCTTTGGACCATTTACCGGCCGAAATATTTGATGCTAATGATGTTGAAATAGAAATGCCCAGTACATATTATCGTATTTCTTCAAACACCCACCATACCTCTTAGGAACTTTAGAGAAAACTCTAAAAAATAGCGGCCGAATGGGGTTTGATGCTTATGATGACAACGCAAAGAAAACATATTAAAAATAAAATGCGTTTTTTCTACAATTAGCAAGTTACCTCTACATTCTTACCCTCATCGTTCTTGCCTGCTCTTACTAACTGTTATCGCTTCCTGCCCACCAGTGAACAAGTCCTCTTCCTAGGATCTACATCACTTAAAGGCAAGATTCAGGATTAAATTATGAGGTAATTCCACTCAAGTGTGAAAGGAGGGGTAGGAAGTGGACCGCCAGTGGAGAAAGAAGAAAAAAAATCGTGAAATACATGGGAATCACGAGCCTTTTGCTCTACGCTGCGAAGAAGTTCAAAAGTCCGGCAGGGAGGTGAGAGATAATGTGAGCGCGGAGAGCGCTAGAGAAGTACGAGTTGAGAGAGCATAGCAGATCAAGTTAGCGATACAGACAAGATATCGAGCGGTGGGCGGGGCGTGTCGCGACAGGTGGAGCGTGTCAAAGTTCTTAGCGCATAGCGTCTAAATAACGCTTTTCGAAGTAGGCAAGTGACGCGAGCTCTAAACCTGCATACTTAGCGCTTCTAGCCACCGTAAAGGCTCTTTGAGTGGGTCTGAGCCCGAACTTTGCCTTTAAGGCCGATATCATAGTTTGCGAATCGAGCGATTCGCTAGCGAATCGCTGGATCCGGAGCGTTGCGCCAGCGAATCGAACGTTTGCACCAGCGAATCAAACTTTGCATCACGAATCGACCGATGCACCAGCGAGTCGAACTAGGTACCAGCGACTCAATAGTGGCGGACCCAACGTTCAACCATTTTCTAACAGTGTCCACTGTTAAGTCCCGCCACTTTCAAAAAAGGTGCACTGTCACGTGACACTGTTCGAAAGTGGCGGGCTTCCTTTGAACGTTGGGTCCTGTCACTATTGAGTCGCTGGTACCTAGTTCGACTCGCTGGTGCATCGGTCGATTCGCTGGTGCAACGTTCGATTCGCTGGCGCAACGCTCAGATCGAGCGATTCGCTAGCGAATCGCTCGATTCGCAAACTATGACGTTGGCCTAACGGAGCCAATCGCTCACTGCTTCATGAAATATGCGTTTCAGCGCCTCTTACCAATTCTTGTCAGCTGGTATCAATTTCTGGCCCCCACTAAATATGTTCGTCCCATTCCATAGATCGTATTTATAATACAGCGCTCCATTGCTGCGGTGAAGCGCGCGACAGATTCGTGACAATCGTACGCACAAACAAACATACTAAGCGAACATTTCTCTTTATTATATAAACCACAACCTCAGTGAGTCGGCTTTGTGTGTGTAGGTTTTTTGTCCTTCTGTCCAAAATGAAGTGAGTGAAAAGGCAGCTAATGGAATAAACAAGCCAACTAATGGACGCTAACGAATTTGGGTAGCTCGCAGGACTTGCTCTAGCCATGCTTTCCAATGGCATGATCGTGATAACACCCCAACGGCTATAGAAACACCTACGTAGCGCATTTTGGGTCGTTCCACTAGCTGCAGCAGTGGTAGCCGGAGAGCAATGGTGAAGGGGACTATAAGGAGAGGAGGAGGGACGCAAAGCTTACACAGAAAAGGGAGGCTCCTGTGGTCGCCGGAGGATTAATATGGTATAGTATATGAATAAAAACAGTCAGATTGTCGAAGCCGTCGCTACGCCGCAGTTTGATCGTCAACTCCACTGTACGGTGGGCAAAAATTACGGTAACAAGATAGTGTTCATTGCGTGGGCAAAAATTACGGTAACAAGATAGCAATGTGGCCAGGAAGACACACGTGGACACCAACAATGTAATCATAGGAAGTTACCAAACAGAATACAAGATCAGTTCTTGAACTGGCTGCTGTCTGCGCTTGTACCAGAGGGAAGTCATTTCGGGAACGCATCGTGCTTGTTGTGTAGGTAGGTGACATCGAGCTTTCCCTAGGATCTTCTTTATTTATCGATGCTTTGATGATACTTGTAGCAGTCCATCGTCATCGGGAAATAACTCACTTGGTTCAAAACGGGAGAATAAGGTTGCCACTCCTTCAGCGTGATGAATTCGAAAAGTTCTACAAATTAATGCTGCACAATACTTGCTTTGGGTACAGGCAGTCTACAGTCTATTTTGCTGGTACGTTCAGTGATTTCTCTCCATGATATTCTCAACTTTTTAACCGTGCGTCGGATGTTCGTTTCTACACCATTAAGCTGTTCGATGAGGTACGAGGTTCGCGGTAACAGAAACAGGCCTCTAATGGAACGTTCAACGTAAGCGATCCTATGAAATTCCAGCACCAGTTACCACGAAGCCAACAAGGTTTCCAAGGGCGGTATTCAATCATTCCCCCAGGGGGATATATCCCTCTGCTCTGATTCAATCCTCTGGGGGGGGGGGGACAAAAAAGGGTTGCGTCATAGGACCTAGCATACCTCTGTGTTTCTGCCTGCCAGACAGTTAGAGCAGCGCTACTACCCTCCACTGATGAAGCACTTTTTTCCCTGAGGGTCGCGCTGCTCTAAGTGTCTGGCAGGTAGAAACACAGAGGTATGCTAGGTCCTATGACGCAACCCATTCTTGTCCCCACAGAGGACTGCAAGGAGGGGATACATCCCCGGGGGAAGGATTGAATACCCCCCCCCCCCAAAAAGGGTGCGCTCTATGCAAACGACTCGGCTGCTTCGACTGGAATGTTACGGAGATTTTGGAGCACTGCAAAAGACGTTCGAAGCTCGGCAAGATTGGCTGATTGCCGCGGTTCCGTTTCTGAGGACTCCTTACCTGATGATTGCCTTTTCAAAACTTAGTATATTCTCCCATTTAGTTACTGTGAAAGATGCAACCTTTGAAGCCTTCTTGTTCACAAAACTTCAAATATTTCAGACAGATTTTGTTTTTTCACTACAGTTTTGCCACACCCTGTAACCCTATAAGTATTCCCCATCCCACATACTAATTCTTTATTTTTATCAGCGTACCGCTTTTCCCGTTCTTCGCGTGCTTTCTGTCTTTCCTTTTCGTTTTCTTCATCTCGTTTTCGGATGCGCTCCTGAAGATAACCATGAACTTCTACTTTCTTCTACCTTGATTAATTGTATAAAGCAAGTGCAACAGAGAAGGGCACGAATGAATTGTTGCCAACATACCCGGAGCTCTTCAATAGTAACCTTAATTTTTGAGAATCCCATGTGCATTTTGCCGCTCAGATGTTCTTCTACTCTACACTGCGCGTCGTTCTTGATCAACATCGATCCGCAAACCTCGCACACCTCAACGATAGGATTATTATGTGGTTTCAAAATGGCCAAACCACTTATATTAAAATGTGTGAGGCAGTAGCGAAAACAAAAAGTTTAGAAAAACTACCATTCCTAACAAGAAGCTAATTAATCGCTAATTACCTTGGAAAGTACCTTTGAGGCTGGATTCTTGTTCACATTAAAAAAGCGCCTTCTGCATTCTGCGTCACGCTTAGAGAACGACGGGAGAACGACGGCCATTCACAGGCAGCTGCGGCGCACTTGATTCCTGGGCCAGATTCGCCGAAACCCCGCATCAAACTATGGAAATCTACACCCTCGTTGAAAAGGTGCCATTCCCCCATTTCATAACCTTTCGAAAACCAACTTTTGGTAGGATTACATGGAGCCATTTTTCTCGTTAGCACTCAGCGTTTGCTCTAAGAACCTTCCACTCGGAAAGATGGGGTCTCTCGAGCTGCGTCGAGTCAGAGCTGAGGACGCTGAAATTTTCATGCCAGTTTTTGCCACTTGAGAGACAATATCTCCATTTTCAAGAGCTTGAAAAAAGTTCTGAAAAGTGAAAGGTTTGCGCTTCCTAACAGTCTTGGCTTCTTTCCAAACTTCTTAGTTGAAGGGATATCTGCGCTGAGAATCTATTAGGAACGATTGATTCAAAAAGTCGATTCCTTCTCCACTGCGAATTAATTCAATGGAAACTCTCGACATGTGTCTAGAAAATATTGCTCCGACGAAAACGACTTGAAAAGGGGCACTCATCATCGTCTGGGTTCGCCCATGCATCCCATATCCCTCAAAGTTGTAAAATCGATTGAAAGGTGTTATACGACGATGACGTTTTAACAGAAACTATAGCAGTAAACACATTTCGTAACTCCTATAACCTAAAGAACAACTTCATCTCCCCAGGACCTTTCCTTCGCTATGGTCGTTTATGCGACAACTTCCCTAACAACAGTGTCATTCTCAATGAGGTATTATTAAGGGCGAGGGAGCGAGCGGTAGTGAAAGATGTGCCCCTACAGCGCGTGTGCACATGTGGCTCCATTCCTTGCAGAGATGTGCTTTAATTATTTGTACTGGTTTCAAATACGCCCTTTTCCTAAAGGTATAAAAATGGAGCGAAATAATCCGCATGGGGTATTTTATATCACATTTTCTCGCGTATTCGTATTTTCTGCTGCGCTACACCCTCTCCCTTCCATCTACACCACGATGCTACTGATGTCTTCGTTACTAACCCCCACCCCCGGCCCACCCTTATAAATATGACCCTCCTGTCAAGGATTTCCACCGTGCCTACGAAGACAATAGTGCACTCGCATTCTAGGCCATTTCATGGATGTCCATTTATTAACCTTGAAAGGTTCTTGAACAGCACAAAGAAACGGATAATGCCCTCAATGTCAATTACCGTGCCCAATTCAACAGTTTTAAAAATTTGAAGATTACGCTATTGATTCCTCATTATTTATCCGTGTTACTGACACTGAGATGAACGAAAAGTAAAACAGTCGACGAAAACAGACCTCCATGATTTTTATTGCTGTTTCATCAATTGGAGCAGGAAGTGGAGCATTGCTGTTCAATCTCTAAACAATTAGAATCAAGAGGGAAAAACCCAGTCGTAGTCGAAAACAAGTGAGCAAAAGCCAAGATATCCTGCCTGACCTCTACAATCGCCGTCCTTTGCTTTTCAAGTTGTTCGGCTTTATCAACAAGTTCTTGACACTTAGCAACCAATCCTTCCTCCCCAGCCTTAAACAACAATCAGTGTTGTGCAACATACCAATGAAAGAACAGAAATATTGACAGCTCCGGTACACAAAAGAATATAAACCTTTTCTGCATCTGCCATACACTTTTTTATTTCTATGTCAAGTCTCGCCATCTCCTGTTCGTCGCGTAACTTTCTCAAGTCCTCTTTTTTCTAGAAGAAAAACAACAAAATAATCTATTCTCAAAATATGACGAGGTCAAGGAGAACAAGAGCAGTATACCTGGCCATTCTCTTCACTTGCTTTGAGTTTTTCAAGATTCTTCCTGATTCTTCTTTGATTGTCTTCATCCAAGCGCGACAAGAACTTAAGAAACTCTCTTTCGAAACCAAGTTTTTCGAACTTGTCACTTTTCGGGTATTCCAGTCGCAAATTGTCGTCATGCACTCGAGGACATGCACCTACAAATGGGAATCACGGAGAATGAGTAAGATCTGCATGGGAGCCAGGATCAACCGTCACGTTGGACCGATTTCGAAAATTTTACGACCCTCTCCCCCTTCTAGAAGGCCTCGATAAAACCTCTCCAGGGTCAACCCTTCACCACCCTTGTTTGCCATCGCCATCATGGGGCTCATTCTATAGTATTCGATTCTGAGACCACTCGACAGCCCTCCGCACACTTTTTTCCTCAAAAATTCCGTCGAGCGAGAAGGGGGGTATATTCCTACCACGAAACCGCAAACATCCTCTTACTTCCCCCCTATTTCACCCACATTTCCACTGCAACATGTTTTAAGGGGGCATACACACACCGTGAAACGAAAAAATTTTAGCGCGCCAACCAACTGCATCATCACTTCCCTTACTGTAACATTAACGATACCTTGCGAAATACGACCCCCACCCCTCGTTGGACTTTGTCCAACGGACGGTTGACCCTGATGAGAGCTCCTTACACGCACGAGTTGCTTGATAACTTAAATGCAATAAGCCCAATGAACCAACCGCGACGAGCATACCATTCGGGAACCTTTTCTAATAAGTAGCGAACAGAAAAAAATGAGACAGACGCTTGGAATACAGAACTCAATGAACTAGAGACAGGTTCTTTCGATCCCCTCTGCATTTGCGTACACGTTGGCGCACGTAAGCAACAAGCATTAGAAAAGGATGGCAGTTCGAAGAGGAAAGGAGAAGAGAATAAAGCGGGAAAAGAGGACCTCGATGAGCAGTCGTGTAAGCTTCTGCGGAATATGAGCCACTGTTGGTGCACGTTTTCATTGGTAATTTGCGGACGCACATTACCAATGAAAACGTGCAAGTTGTTGCATTTACATCCAAAACTCCATTTTCTTGTCTTTCTTGATTCACTTCAAACGTCATTTGCAAGTTCTCTAGTAGCGCTTCTCAAAACATTCGGATGTAACCTGGTTCCACTGCTAATGCTGCTTCTTCTAAGCACTCTAAAAAGTAGCTGATAATTTCATGAGAACTGGCCTCATCTGAATTCGCGAAACGTCAGCGCTTGAAAACCACAGCTATCCATGTTGAAATTCACATTATTTAGAAATATAAAGGAGTTAGCATAAGCCAAAGAAATGACAGAAATCGCAATAACGAACTTCCGAAGAATAAACACTTCTTGGAACGAAATGAGAATCAACTTAGCGCGATAACAGGTAGAATGGAAAAAAGTTCACAGATAAGAAAAACACCTCATTGAGAAGGGCTGTGGCCTCGTATTCCAATACATGCCAATCATCGCAAGAATAGCACGAGAGGGTTCGATATGAAATGAATGAGACGATAGGATATTTCGTTATTACTGATTTCGGTCATTTTGGCCACTAAGTAATGCCATAACTAGGTATTCAAAAGGAATGCTTCTGACTCTTCATTTTTCTCTTCGAACCGTCAGAAACAGCAACATTTTGAAAGAAAAATAAGTTAACCCACCTAGGTCAGCTTTCGTATTGACGAACATGTCGTGCGGACAAAATCCTACTATGTAATATTTGCAAATATCCGGATCCTGAAATCGCACACTGGATTTCGACCAATATCTGCCATGCATATATGACATACAGATTGCTCCCCCGCAATCACGGTGTCTTTCCCCCTTGTGTGAGCTTTTCGCCTTCCGCTGCGCTCTCTTCCAATGACACCAACACCTCGCACGAGGGATGCGTATGCCCCGAAAAGGTGTTTTTTTACAGGAGTGGCCGATGTCAGACTTTGCGGTTGGAGCAATTGTGCACAAATTGCAGGAGCGACGGATCGCTTGGGCGATCCATCGCTGCGAGCGACGGGAGATTTACGTGGCCGACCAACGATAATTCGGCGCCATCAGCTCGTAAATGTCCCGTCGCTCGCAGCTCCCTGCCACAACGGCCAAGGCACCTATCACGGCCCGAGCGATGGATCGCTTAAGCGAAGTGCGAGCGACGGGAGATTTACGAGCTGGTGGCGCCGAATTATCGGTGGTTGGCGGTGTAAATCTCTCGTCGCTCGCAGCGATGAATCGCTCAAGCGATCCGTCGCTCCTGCAATTTGTGCACAATCGCTTCAATCGCAAAGTCTGACATCGGCCAGTGGGCATCAGCACAAACATGAAATTACGTTATAATGATATCCAAGGACTTAGTTGTAATTTAGGTCTGTTGGGTACTGGCTCTCCTCCCGGTTGACGGACTACTTGCACCCGGTCCTTTAAACCGCCTCAGATCCATCTTTCGTCTGCGCTCTCGCCTTATCAGCGACTCATGGCCATTGTGATCACACAATTTCAAACTTTTGCCACACTTCAGTCGGCTCACCCACCTCGAAGTCCCTCCCTCCTACAAGGCTTAGTCCTAGAGCTCTCACTTCCCTCCCTGGGATTTGGAGCCGAGTCAGGCGCCGTTCTTTGCTATCTGTGCCTCCGCCACTCGTGGCAGGACTATAGAAGAGTGTTCAAGTAGTCCGTGAACCCTCTCCTCCCTTTCCCCTCCATTGGCTACAGCTGCTTCAGCTGCACCGTGGGAATGATTCAGAATGCGCTTAGCAGGTGCTTTGCGGTATATATCACAACCAACGCAAAACATTGATAGTTCAAGTACGAGCTACACGATTCCATTAGGCTGGTGTCGGAGTCCGCAATCTTTCGCAGGTTTCGCTGATTTTCGCGATTTGCGCGATTTACGCAATTCACGCGACGGGTCATGGAAACCACAAGTGCCCGATCAATACTACAAGGTGTTCTCCAACCCCGCCGCGACTTGTGCTTGATATCTTGCATTACGACTGCTCACGTTTCCACTTGTTTCAAATTCGGTGTTCCAAATCTTCAACTGGGGCGCTTGCAATTTTTGCGATCGTCGCAAGTTTCGCGCAAATCGCGAAAATCGCACAAACGGCGAAAATCAGCGAAATCTGCGACGAATCGCGGATTCTGACATCAGCCTTGGAGGTTTGCTTATTCAATGAGTTTCCTCATCACTTTGATTCGCAGATGGACACACGTCCATATCCGAGTGTTGGGGTAGGCGTGTCACCGGATGTGACGTGGACTTGATAGAAATTGCATGGATAAGCTGCCCTGATATCCAGCGGAACTGTTAGGCTGATGTCAGAGTCCGCGATTCGTCGCAGGTTTCACTGATTTTCGCGAAACCTGCGACGGATCACAGGAGTACACAAGGCACAACATACGCAAGGCGCCCGCGAGCTGTGCTGGAACACTTTCAAATTTCCGCACACTTGGCGGGCGCTACTGGCTCGGCCGTGCTCGCCGCCCCATAAAACGTGAAAAAAGTAGGGGAGGGGGGGGGGTGATGGAGGCACTTTCGATTCCTCTGATACGTCGCACGCTTCGCGCGGATCACAAAACTTGCAAGTGCCCCATTTGAACGATTGAAACACTGAATATGAAACGAGTGGAGTCATGAGCAGTCTTCATCAAACCATAGTGAAGCAGAAGTGACGGCGGGATCGGAGAACACCCTGCAGTATTGATGGGGCACTTGTGATTTCCGTGACCCGTCGCGTGATTCGCGCAAACCGCGCAAATCTCGAAAATCAGCGAAACTGCGACGGATCGCGGACTCTGACATCAGCCTTACAAACAACTCATCCACAAGACTTCTGTCAAGTGTGGTGGCCTACATAATTTCCGGTGACATGCCTACCAAACTCTCGGATATGGACTGTACATGCATACACACGTAAACACAAACAAACACACCGAGTTGGCAGTTAATATAAAAAGAAAAGGATGCTACAGCACCATGTTTGAGCTGACAACGAACATGGAAAGGTATTAATTCTGTGCAACACCAATTATGTACAAACACGCAGGATGCTGCTAATGCAACCACTGGAAGTTCCCATAGCAGCTGAATTTCAATCTTAGGTAATCTGTCGCCCCGCAACTTTTTAGATATTGTAGGAGCGATGTGAGTGCTATCACCTCGGAAAGTTACAAATATCTTTACAATGTCAAGCAGGTGAACTCACATCAAATGTAACAGTGGTATCCTTCCCCAGTTCGACGTTCCGCTTCGGTCCCATTAGCTCGTCCAGCATCGCCGCCATAGCGTTACGCGCTGACATTGCTATGGGTCCAACCACTTACTCAAGTTAAAAAAATTCTGCAAAATCGAGAATAAGTAAGAAGATCCCGGCACCTATAGGACAAATTTTCATGCGACGGCACACCGCTCAAAAAAAAACCAGTTGCTCACACGGTGAAAAATATCCGTAAGAAGCGGCGCGTCCACAGCGCTCAGGAATAGAGCGCGAAATCTGGCGGGTGTGGTGCCAATGCTTTCGACACTAGTTGTGCATTCGGGCATTCTCTCTCCCATCCAGGATCAGCACCGGTCAGACAAAGGTGAGTCGTTTGCAGAAAGAGTGGAGGTGTCGTAAACTCAGGGACGCGTTTCGGAAATCGTGACGATATGTGGTGGAGGGTAACGCTTCCGGAAAACAAACAAAGAAATTTGTGAGAAATGGAAAGCGTCGGCTCTCATTAAAACAACTGAATGGCTGGCACTTATTCACATACTTGGTAATGCGAACAGAGTTCGCGTGAGCGCAAAAATAACATATTAGAACACCATGACACTCTATAAAACAAAAAAAATCAAAAGGCCGATGTCATAGCTTAAAAATCGAGCGATTCGCTAGCGAATCGCTCGAGTCGCAAACTATGACGTCGGCCAAAGTGTACGCGGCAAAAGTTTACTGAAAATAGAATAAAAAAGAAGCTCAGAAAGGAAAGGCAAAATGCAGTAAGAGGGGATAAACCCTCAAATGCACTCGCAGCTTTGAACCACAGGCGCGTGCGTGGTGCATCTAAAAGCAGGACTTGTTGACAGCAACCGCTTCGACTTCGATTCATGACGAGAGGAAAGATTTTTTGACGAGTCCCATTGTACCGGAACAAACAGAGCAAGAAAGTGCGATGATATGGAAGGATTGAGTTCTCCTTGAGCATTAAACCAAAAGTTCTATAGAAGTCAGGTTTCCGAAAAGGCTGCTACGCGTTCCAATTCCCCACGGCCGTCTTTCACGAATGATGGCGACGGGGATGCTCAAACTTGGTTCTTGGAGTGCATTCACTAGAAGCTCTTTCTGTCCTAATTCGTTGCATTCACATCTTACACTTCTACTCCATCCTATTCCATCGATCGATTTGTCTCCACTCTCCGAAATCGCGCGCTTCAACCCGATTCCCTCATTGCGTCGCCTGGTACGTAGCCGGCCAAACGCCGTCTTCTTTCCATGCCTCGCCTGGCTCTGCCTCCTGGTCCTTGGATGGTCCATAACGTGTGGTTTTTGTACGTTTGTTTCTCTCAGAAACCGAATCTTTCATGCGTGAAACTTTGTGCTTTTTCCAGTGACCACAACTGACATATTCATGTTAGGAAAGAGTGCAAGAATTTTCCGCGCAATATTCCTTCAAGGGAGAAGGAGCTAGCGATAGGCAGAGGAGGTGCCTTTGCAGCGCGTGCGCCCATGTGGCAGTCTTCTTTGCGGGGATGCACTTCATTCTTTGTACTGCCTTCAAATACACCCTTCTCATGAAGGTGGAGGAATGCAGCGACTGAACCTGCAAAGAAAATTTAATATCATGTTTTTTTTTCAAATATTTTCATTTTCTGCTGCGCTATACCCTCTTACCTATCTGCAACACGATACCACTGCTGTTACTGACCTTCAAGAGTACGACCCCCATGACCCAGCCCGAAAGATACGAGCCCCTGTCGAGGATATCCTCGACCGATACTCACTCTGGGTCGTGGATAGACCTCGACTTCAGGGGGTCGCACTTCTGCGACCACGTCCTCGACACGATTTTCACCCTGGTGCTTACCACTATTGGAAAAGGAACAGTAACCCAAATATTACCACTGCCTTTTGATTGGAATCGCATCCCTACAGTCGCCTTCTTGACCCGTAGCAATGCAATAAACAGATAGAGTAGTCACAGCTTTTTTGCGAGCAGATTGAGAATAACCGGAGTGAAATCTCGTCAAAGTAGTTCTCGAAAAGCATGAGCATGAGGTGGGATGCAGAACAAGGCATTTCCTACTGAACATCATAGCACAATCAATTTACCTTTTCAGATATAATACATACGCAACAAAGGGGTAACATTTCCAGCGCAAAAGATGGATGTAACAGCTCGGAAGGCGAAACTCGGGTTTGGGTGGGCGGGGCACGCGAGGTTACAAGGCTTCTGTCAACCAAAGGGTGAGTGCGTAGCTGGAAAAGCACACACTTTGTGTCTTATTGGGACTAGGCCTTTTGAAGAAGATAAAGAAAGAGAAGATGCTGTGATAGTGTGCACTTGTGAGAGCTCCCAGACATCACTACAAAACGCTGTAACTCTAAGGCTCACGGTTGACAGAGACAGGCACGCGATGGCGCGACGCCCTGTTGGTCTGCTCCTCCAGCGCTTAGTCCACAGGGGAGTTACTGTTTCGCCATTATGTGGCAATTTCAAAGTACGCGCCATCGGTGACTGAGCCTTGGTAGAGCAGACAAAAACAGCGCCGCGCCATCGCCTGCCCCCCCCCCCAAACTCGGGTTACGCCGCTTGGAAGCTCAACATACAACGAATCATAGGAGCACAAAATATTGATGGCAATTATGGACGATGTCATCGAAGACTGCAAAGGGAACGTGAGTTATTGTCGAAGGTGAGCGTTAGTTTTTTTTTCTTAAGTAACTATGTACTTTATTTGCCTTTTTCGACAATCTTCGACTAACGAGTGCGTTATGGCGTGTTTTTTTTTTCGAGGAGGCGACCTATGTACATAGTGATATGCGACAGGACCGACCCCAGGGGTCGAAGGATGGGGCGCCCTTCCTATGAGGGGAAGAGCAAGAGGGAAGAAGAAAAGGAGGAAACGAACTTTTTCACTGTTTTTGTTATTGGCTGTTATTGCCTATTGTTATCTTCTATTTAAGGAATAAATGATTTGAAAATGAGAGTTGATTGATTAATTACCATATAATGTGGGGACTTCTCTTATGAGTATCAGCTGTATCACCTGTCGTCCCGTTGATCGTCGATTTGCTCGAGCGGGCGCCAGCAACGTCTCCATTCGTCCCTGTCGCGTGCCAGAGTGGTCCAGTGGATCCTCCTTGCTCGAGGGACACGAATTCCATCATTCCTTTCGTTCAGAGCTTTCGTGAAGAAGTCTGACCATCGGGCCGGCGGTCGTCCAGTTGTTCGTTTAACGTCCCGAGGGATCCAGTCGGTAACCGTTCCCAACGGCCATCGCAAAATCGCATGACGTGTCCGGCCCACCTTATCTTCGATTCCTTGGCGAAAACGGCAGCGTCCCTGATCTTCGATCTCAGAACTTCGGATTCCCCTTTGCACTTGCGTGTATAGGATTACTCCTAGCATCTCCTCTCGACAGCGCGTTCGATAACGCTTACCGCATGCTCGTCCTGCCTGCGCAGAATCCGTGTCTCTGAGGCGTAGATTAGGGCAGGAAGGACAGCGGAATCGAAGAGGTGGGCACGGAGCCGGATGTTCTTCGTCTTTTTCACTACTCCCTCGATGTTCTTGAACGCTCCCCATGCCGCTCGTTTCCTTCTGCTCAGCTCTGGAGCTAGGTCGTTCATCATATTGATTTTCCGACCTGGGTACACGTGGCTAGAGCATTCGGTGATGTTCGTTCCGCTGAGCGTGAATGGGGCATCAGGAATCAATCCGTTTCTCATAAACATCGTCCGTTAGGTTCAGCTGTAGACCAACCTTACCACAGGCGCAGTCGAAATCAGCTAGCATTCGCTCCGCTTGCTCCATGTTCGACGTTATAAGAATGATGTCGTCAGCGAAACGAAGGTGGTGTAGTTGCCGGCCGTCGACCTTCACTCCCATGTCTTCCCATTACAGTTGACGCATGACGTTCTCGAGAGCGGCGCTGAAGAGTTTGGGCGAGATGGTATCGCCCTGTCGAACCCCTCTCTTGGCGTCGATGATGACCTCCTTGTAGAACGGTAAGTTCCTGGTTGTAAAGTTGCTGTAGTGCTCACGAAGAATCTTGATGTACTGAGTAGGGACGCCCTGGTTGCCCAAGGCTTCGATGACCGCTTCTGTCTCCACGGAGTAGAAGGCCTTCTTCAAGTCGATGAACGTGTGACAGAACGGCATCTTGTATCCCGTGAAACTTCAATGAGTCTCGTAACCGTGTGGATGTGGTCGATCGTGCTTAACCCTCTCCGTCTGCTTGCTCGCATGGCTGCCCTTCATCTAGTATTCTGCCGATCCTGTTAAGGATGACTCGAGTGAATAGCTTGTAGATTACAGACAGCAGACAGATTGGGCGATAGTTGCCAATGTCGTCCAGGTCTCCCTTCTTGTACAGCAACACGGTCCTACTGGTTTTCCACGGAGTTGGTACCTTGCATTCCGACAGGTAGCGCGTGAAGAGTCGAGAGAGAGTTTTCATGATAACTGGCGGCGCATTCTTCAGATGTTCCGGTTTGACTTTGTCGAGACCTAGTGATTCTTCAGCGACTTGATGGCGTGTCGGACTTCGGAAGAGAGTACTGAGGGGACGACGTATCCCTCCTGTTGCAGGCGATAATTGGGCCGATGGACATGGCTATCGAAGAGATCCGAGTAGAAGTCGTGGATGACTTTCTCCATTGCCCGTCGGGGTGCAGTAACTGTTCCATCCGGGCGTCGGAGGCAGGTCATCTTGGTCTTGTAGCTGGCAAAGCTTCGGCAGGCATTGTGGATGCTCCTCCCAGCCTCTGCTGCTTCAGCTAATACTGCTGCTCTTCGCTCCTTGAGATCTTCCTTTATCTCTTATGAGTATCGAATATTAATTATCGAAGTTATTGATTTTGAGTCCTCGAAGTTCTTTTTCAGCGAAAATTCTTGGTGAAGTCTTTGATCGAGATAGGCGTTGGTACTTTCTAGGAGACTTGAACAAAATATGTTGTAATACTTGAACAAGATGCATCATATCATCGTGGTGTACCAAACAATGCCGCTTTTACAGATAAACAGCGTTGGGTAATAAAGGCAAAGATACGCACTTGAACAACGTTCGTATTTTGTTTGCTATCCCAGAGGGTCAAAG